GAGGACTTGCGCAAGTATCGAGCTCTTGTGCTGGAGAATAACCTCAAGGTTCTGCTGATTTCTGACCCAAATACGGACAAGTCTGCAGCCGCCCTAGATGTTCATATTGGTAAGTAGTACCATATTCAGGTTGTGTGTTGTATTTCACTTACATCTTTTCATTGTAATCTGTGAGCCAATTACTTCAGCTCTCACCATTTTTAATTTCTCTGTATTTTTTCTTTTCTTTTTACTTTCTATATTAGTTTTTGGTGATTTTGGAAAAGATCTCGTTACCATTTATTTTCTACTAAATTTAATACTGTAAAATAGAACTAGTGTAATTACTGTAAAAAAAACTAGTGTTATTATGTAAATAACACCGTGGAACTGTCTCTAAATTTCAGGAAGTATGTCAGATCCAAGAGAACTCCCTGGGTTGGCCCATTTTTGCGAACACATGCTTTTCATGGGCACAGAAAAATATCCCTGTGAAAATGAGTACAACAAATACCTAGCAGAGCATGGGGGATCCAGTAATGCCTACACAGCAGCTGACCACACCAACTATTACTTTGATGTAGCTCCTGAGGCGTTCTCTGGAGCCTTAGACAGGTAAGCCAGTACTTATATTTGGTTGAAGATAATGGCTATCAATTATACTTGTACTTTACAGTTTTTTTTAATTATTATTATAAGAGGTAATGTTTGGAAGACCAGTAACTTCCATACTTTTGGCAAAGACATACAAATATCTAAGTATATGTTGGTAAGTTGGAGCATTTAGGTAGGCACTGTTTAGCCAGAATATATGTTGGCCTTTTGCAGACTGTACAGAAGCCATAACAGTCACTTGACTTTATACCATTATTTCAAGGTTTAAGATTAGTCCTTCCATAACAGATCAAAGTGAGTTCCAAGTGGATTTGGACAGAACATAGGTGATAGTTTCATAAGGAAAAAGTCTGTTCTCCAAACTTGTGCCTCTAAGATTTTCTTTTGTGTGGAGGATTTTTAAATTCCCTTAAGTTCAAGATTTTGCAGATGGGAGAAATATATAGGATATATGTTTGATAAAGTCATATGGTGTTTGAATCCCCCGTATTGAATAGTGATACAATAAGTGATAATGGGGAATTAATGAACTATAGCATAGGTGATGATTACTTGCATTACATTTCAAATACCTGTAAATTTCAAGATCAAATATTTCAGAGAACATGTTCACTGAAACAATACAGTTCCTTTTGATTGTTTGCCTTAGCATCACATTTGTGGAATTATAAATGGAAAATGTTTGATAAGAAATGTTTATATATATTAATATCTTCTGTCTTATACTATCTCTCTTTACTGTTTCTTATAGATTTGCACAGTTCTTTCTGACACCACTGTTTACTGAAAGTGCAGTGGATCGTGAGGTGAATGCAGTTAATTCTGAACATGAAAAAAATTTACAAAATGATTACTGGAGGTTAACACAGCTTGAAAAGGCAACTGCTGATCCAACTCATGACTTCAGCAAGTTTAACACCGGTTAGTATTATATTTCTTATACCTAGATGTAATACTATCACTAGTATACCTACAAATTGAGTACAGTGAATCAAGGATCAGTTACTGGGGTTTTTTCCACAGTAGACTATATAAAAGCCTTGATAAATTATAAAATTTCAGCCTGAGAATAAAGGATTTGTATTATCTTTTAATCCAGTAACTGAAATATACAGAGTTTACTGTAGTCTAGGATAACTTCAGCATACCTATTTTCTACAGGGAGATCAATTATAGAACAAAATGTGTATGTGATCCCTGATGAGCTCGTGCATCTATAACCTTCAAGTTGAATAAGATAGTTTTTTATGCTTAATGGGCTGCATTTGTATTTTGCATTTCATAAAACAAAACAAAAAATGTACTCTTGAATTTTCAATTCTATGTTGCACCTCATCCACATTTCTTAAATTACACTGTTCTCACATTAATAGAAATCAGTGGTTAGTGTGTTACAATGTTTATTAAAAATTATATTAATCTTACAAGCAATATAAATTTTAAAAAGGATAAGTCGTGTTTGGTAGGTTGGTGCTCTAGGATTAGTAGTCTTCTTAGAACTAGACCCCACTATAGTGAATTTTTATTGCAAGTATGGTGGGTGTGGATGTTGGTCAATCAAAGAATATATAAATAAACAGCTGCATAATTACACTGGATGTAACGTAATGAAGCAGAAATGAGTATAGTATTTTTTTAGGTGAATAGTATAGAAAATCATTTCTCCTATGCATTACTAATCTTATCCCTTTAACCATGGTATACTCACAATCCACAATCTCTGATCCCCCTAAACTGAGTATAGGAATTTCCATGCATTTCTGGAAGGTACTGGTTGCCTTGAATATCACTGAATGACCTTGAAAGAACTCTTTACAAAGTAGCTTTTGCTATTGTGTATTTTATTGCATATAACACATTTGCATATGTGAAACAAAGTTTCTAGCATGGTTTGTGTTTCCTTTCA